TGTGTGTGTGTGTGTGTGTGTGTGTGTGTGTGTGTGTGTGTGTGTACCCAAATAAACAATATTATATGTATGTGTGTGTTACAAATAAAGAATGTTATATTAAATTATTTACGAAAAAAAAATATTAAAAGAAAAATTTTAATACGGACTGGCAAAAGTTACCTACGTATTTCTTAATTAACGACGCTCCTAAGGCAGAGCGATCGGCGACTCAGCCGCTGAAGTTCCAGCGAGAATGGGGGAATAATAAGGCGTCGTGTCTGAAATTGGCTCGAAATGTGCAAATAATTCCGAGCTCTGCGATAAAAAGAAACACGATACTAACCTTTATATAGTAGGCGAACTTTTCAAATTGCCCACTAGATTAAAAGAATGCCCCATTAGATTAAAAACATGCCATATTTTCGCAAATTAAAAAATTTTTATAAGAAACAAATTTTTAAGAAAATTTTAAAAATTCAATCATGCATAACGATGTTAATTTCCAAAATCACATCTTTAATAAAAGTATATGGGTTTTAATCTTATAAATATCTAGTGTTATACAAGATATCTCAGGAAGAAAGGTCAATATTCTCGAAGGTGATAGTATCGGTTAGTTTAAACAAAAATATTAATATGAATATGTATCCTACTTGACTTTGTTTCAGAGATATTAGTGATTGGAAATAGGCAACTGTAAAGCCTTTTTTAACATATTCGCTTCAGATGACACACATATGCGTCATTCGGGTTCTTGACTTGAGTAAAGACTGGGTTTGGAAAACGCATATATACGTCTTTGAGAGTTTCACATTTCTGTTTTAAAATAAACGTATAAAACACTATAAATGGTTCAATTTCTCTTTAGAAATAGCATAACAAATGTTTCACGAATTAGAACAATTGAATATGTTTGCAACTTTTGGTTTATTTTATGATCGACAGTGAAAATAGTCTAGCAGCGTAAAATCGCATGATTTTGGCGGCCAATTAACACTTTACCAACCGCTAGCCTATTAATCGGCTGTTTGTCGCCAACGCTTACCGACCAATACCCTATTAATCGGCTTTTTGTCATCATTTGTCAGAAATCACCAAATTTTGTTGGAAGTATGGAATAATGGCAAAAGAAACGTCAATATGATCTCTCAACTATACATTCTGCACAATTAACGGAATCCAGAAACAGAAGTAAAAGATCAAACGGTCCCATACAGAAGCCTAATTCAATCGTAAATTATAACAAATATATGAAGGGCATAGATCGCGCGGACCAATATCTATCGTATTATTCCATTTTTAGAAAAACAAAAAATGGACTAAACGAGTTGTAATGTTTTTTATCAACTGTGCACTTTTCAATGCATTTAAAGCATACACAGTTCTCAACGGAAAAAATATTACGTACAAGAATTTCCTGCACAAAGTGGCAGTTTCGTGGATAGAAGATTGTGAAACTAATTGTACAGAACAAGATGACGATCTTCCTAATTCTGAACCCACAAGAAGAACATCCAGATTAGACCATCCTGGAAGACTGTCGAATTTCGGAAAACATAAACTTATAAATATAGTGACCAGCAGACGAAGTGTAAAACCTCAAAGACAATGAAGAGTTTGTGCAGTTCAAAAAAAAAGAAGTAGAACATGTTTTGTCTGTAAATTTTGTAATGTTTTACTACACAAAGGCGACTGTTTTGAACGATATCATACTTTAAAAAAATATTAAACTATTTCTTATTTGAAGTATGTCAATATATAGATTATGGTATATTATATAACTATTTAACTGAAAACCGTTGTAATAGATAAAATGAATATAATTTAGCATTAATATCATCAAAATAAAAGAACTTATTAAATCTAATCTAATTATCCTATAATAAGAGAAATCGGGCAATTTTATCTGAGCATACGAAAAGCACAGATACTCGCGACAGTCTAAACCGAGCCGGCGCCAGGGAGGATTTGCGGCCGAGCAGCCGGTCGGACGTGCGTATGCTGTTGAACCGCTAGCGGTCGGTAAAGTGTTAAAGTTTTCGCGTCGAGAAATTATGCGTTCAGAAAACTTTTCACGCAATAACGCGATTGTTTCGTTGTTGTGTGGCACATTGCGCGGGAAATAAACATTGTTCAAGTTCAAATCACCCACTTCAGGCCAAAAAAATCGGTCAACATCGCCCGATAACATTTTCAGCTACAGTAACAATGTTTTCGGTTAATTTGGCTGGCCGAGCACGGATTGGGATCTTTACATTACTAACTTGACCTAAACGCTCAAATTTCTTGATTAGGTTAACCCTTTGCACTCGAGGGCTCCGGAGCGGAGCCATTTAAAATTTGTCTTCAAACTCTTCAAATTCAAATGCAAATAGCAAGAGCGGAATATCCTATACACAATAGTTTTTACAATTTGTCTTTGTCCTTATGTTATGAATTGAAAGTTATTTGCATTGTCTCCATAGCGGAGCCCTCGAGTTTGAAGACAAATTTTTAATGGCTCCGTTCCGGAGCCCTTGAGTGCAAAGGGTTAACAATTGCTGGACGAGAAGGTGCTTCATTACGACCGGAAGCAGTATAAATTTTACGAACTGATTTCGTGGAATTTTCGCCATTTTTGTGGTGAATTTTCACAATTTCTATATGTTGCTGAAGAGTATACCGTTCCATTTTCGTTAACTATATTGTTATGTCCGCGCTACGATATGTGGCGAAATTCGTGTAATGTCCGCGTCTCGGTATATGTCAGAGTCCGGTTGATTGAAACAAGAGAGATGTAATGGGAAAGAAGGATCTAGCTGAAAATTACAGAAAGGGAGTGACAGACTCCTGAGCCGTAAGGAAAGTTTGGTGTCCCGCTCTTCTAAAAAGTTTCTCTGTTAACGTTTGTGAATTTGAGTTCTGTGTTTAGTATTAAACACTCGTTATTTTATAAAAGAGGGAGAGTCGTTCATTTTCCTCGCTCGTAAGCGCATATTCACGCGTAAACGTAACAATATATTTTTTACTTGTCAGCTGTTAAGGAATGACAATTCTATCTTTAATAGGTTAAAAATCGCGCGAAATTTAAAATTTTCTTAATGGAAAATGTAAATATATACGTATATATATAATAATAATAAATATATAATAATAATAATAATATATATATAATAATAATAAATATATATATAAATATATATATATATTATATTGAGATTATATATATATATATATATATAGTGTACATATCAAATTATTTAATAAATGTAATATCACTAAATAATGTATCATTTTCTTAGACAAGGAAGAATAGAATAAAAC